CGGCATAAATGTGCACTGGCAAGTGCAAAGGAAGTTAACAGCGCTGCATCCACAGATAGCTGCAATACGTATGCATTGATGAATAAGACTCCTCAAGAACCACCAGTCACATTTGGAAGCATAAAACTCATCATGCAGATGCAACTGAATCCAGTGTGGAGCGAGACATCAATTTTCAGTGACTGAGAATAAAAGTGGCTACAACATATTCTGTGGCATTTCAGTGGCTGAGGTCTATCACTCATGGAAACAATTAAAGAAATTATTTCATAGAAGTTTCCCTCTCTGTTGTAAATGTTGCAAATGCTGTATGCATAACCTAAACCAGTTTGTATAACACACACAAAAAGACTGGTGTTGAAAAAAAAAAAAAAAAAAAAAAAAAAAAAAACTTGGGATTTGTAAGATTAGGGATCTACAAATTGTAAAAATCCTTTGCAACCTACAATATGACCCAAACTGCAGTTACATTACAAAATGCTATTTTCTCCAAGGGACCTTTGCTTCATTCACTCGACAGAATGGGTGACCCATTCAGAGAATAAACTGCTCAGTGCTTTGCTGTAGCCAAACTGTCATGCATGTACATTTTGGTGTTCAGGACTGGTTTTAACCTTTTTTCCTATGGGCTCAGCTCTGACACTCCTTCTCTGAAGTGACTCTGCCAGGATCACTTATTGATATGGCTTCCCATTACAGGGCTGTGATGTTATCTTGTAGCTAGATGAGGCTCAAATCCTGAGCACTAGTTATTATGTGGATTGGATAAGATTTATGGGGGAAAAGTAACATGTGATGCTGTTTTATGAGGTGTAAACTAAAGTACATTCTCACTGGGTAAACCCACTAAAGAAGTGCAGCCAGCCAGCATTTTGGAATCTCCTAAATGATTCTTAATTAATATCACAGTCATTTAATTTTGTTTAATTATTTTCAGTCATTTTACAAAGAGTGACAAATTGTTTAACATGCCACATTCCCACAGCCAAGCCAAGTTTCTCCTGGTTAAATAACTGCACCAGAAAATAATGGAGTATTAAAAAGAAATTTGCCAGAAATTTACTTTAACAGAATTAACATTAGTCTTGTCCAGTTAAGGGGAAAGGAGGTTAAGAGAAACAGATGTTTGCAGTTCAGGGATGGATAATTAGAAAGAAGGTAATCTCCCAGCAAAGAAATAAGTAAAGGTTAGTCAGCCAGGCCCCATATCAGTCTCTGCTGGAACAGTGAAAGAACAGTGCAAGTACAGAACAATTGGAGTATATCACTCAAAAAAAAAAAAAAAAAAAAAAAAAAAAAAAAAAAAAACACTAAAAGTAACACAAACTCTTGAGGCACAACCAATCCTCATGGCACCACATTCATACTATGATAAAGGCAATGCTGCAGCATTTCCACAGAATTTACTGTATCAGTTTAGGAAATTCATAATTTATGCAATACTAAAGTATGTTGGTAAAATTGAAAAAAAAAAAAAGTAGGTCATAAAGGTGTAGATAGAGGTTTCTGAAGTGAAATTGCAAGTTAATGCAAGCAAAGTTGAATTTTCTTCTTGCTAGTTAACAATAAAAGGCTGTTGCTCTATCCAGGGCTCTGCAGGGTATGCACAAAATTGATCGATGCAGAGGTGAGCACTTCACTTGAGCTACAGCTACTGAACACCATCATCTGCTTTCAGGAGAAAGAAAGTTGCTGATGGCAGTATAAACACAGTAAAAGCATCCCAGGTGTCCTGTAGGGATATCACATAATGGGGAACCAACTGATAGTTGAACAGCAGTTTCCACAGATGTGTTACTGTGAGAGTTAGCATGATTTAATGGGCTATCCGGTGTGGACGAAGCATGCCCCAAAACAACCTGAATTCTATCACCTGAATGCGATGATCTAAATAGTTTTTGAAAGGGCTGCAGCAATTGTACAATTTAGTTTCTGCATGCTACAGTAAAAAGCGGAAGATAATATGCAGGGATATTTTGGGTTGCAAGGGCACATTGGCTTAGACAGTAATAGCAGTACATCAGGCATGCTACCATGTTTATATAGTTTCTGGACTGACTGACTGGCATCTAGTCAGCTCATAGCTTGGGCAAAATAAGCTTAAATCTGTTCACAGCCTTCTGTGCATTGGCAGTGATGTGTCTCCACTCACATCCCAGTACTGAAACATCAAATTTAACAGAAAATATTCCTGTAATATTTGACTTTGGATTTACTGTTTAATAATTTTGCTTCAGAGTGGAAGGTTAAGAGAAGTAAAAATGAAAAATCAGGAGTTGTAGTGATTTGGTGCATCAAATCCACTTCTGAGGATGGTCAATGTAAATGTAAATGAGGAGGAAGATTTCTTACTCTGAAGCATTCATTTCCAATTGCAATGAGCATAGTTACTGTTCACCAAGCAACCTCAATGGCTTCAAATTGCAGATCTGGAAAATTGCTGAAAAGTGTGAAACAGGCTTTCTAGTACTCTGCAGGATCACAATATGGCCTTGATCATTTAGTGATCGTTGGACTAGATGATCTTGGAGGCCTCTTCCAACCTAGATGACTCTGTGATTCTGTGATCCACTGGTTCATCTGTATCCTGGACAATATGGTTAGGCACCTTGTCTCTGCAAGGTGGTTATAGCACCTTTCAGAAGGAAACTAGTTTTGAGATGGAAGGGAAAAGGTCAGGCTATAGAAAAGTTTTATGGATTTGCTATATTTCTCCTGGCCTGAATACAATACCTGATGTGAGGGTGCTTTTGCTGCAGTGTGCACGGTGACAAAGAGGAGGAACTTCAGGGCTTCACACACCAGACTAAGAAACATTTCTATTTTTTTCTCAAAGGAAGTCGCTAAGTTCCCCATCTGGATGAGTATTAGCCTTTGATCCCACAGTGCTTGAACCTGACTAGCTGATTTCAGACACCTGGCAGCCAGGAAAAATGCTTGTGCTATTTCTTATACTTTTCCCACAATGATCCCTGAGCTGTTTCTAAATAGAGGATACCAGCACAGTCACGCCTTCAGTTTGACCAGCTACTGCTCTTTCTGTGGTCTGGTGTGCTTTTCTCCTCATACATCAGGTGAATGCTTTCTTGTCCATGCAATTTTACTCACCTGAGTTTGGGGAAGAACAAGATTCCACGTTATTCTTATTTAGCTCACTCCTGAGTTTCTTTAGTATGTCAAAGGCAAGACGTTTGTAAGCTGTTATTTCACAATTCAGTTGTGGGCATACTCATGTAAAGCCATATCCTGCCCTTGTTTACACTTTGAAGCTCTACCAATTTCACCAGGGATTTCATAGAGGAAATAAGGTCAGGATTCAGCTCTTTGAGTCAAATCCTACTGAACTTACTCAGGTAAAAAGCTTGTGGATTTCCTCCTACTGATACACAATGCAATGGGAGGAAACGTATGCTCTTCTAAGTGACCATGGTAACTGGTACTTGGGTTTCCTAGGTGATTTTCTGGCAAGTGGCCAAAGGAGGAAACTGTAACAAAATCAGATCCCAGGCACCAAAAAGCATTGACGTTCCTGGCTGTGCAGCAGCCTGTACGAGGAGCCTGAAGTGACAAGCTGTAGAAAGAAATACACCAAACTCCTTGCTTTAAAATCGTAGTAGGTGTCAAACACAAGGAAAAAGGAAGGTTAAGTAAGTCTATGGTCCCAGCTTCCTTGAGAAACTAGTAAGCCTGATGTGTTTCCTCTCCTATGTCTGTCTGGTAAACAATATGAACATGAGACAGCACTGTGCCCTTGCTGCTAAGGCTGAGGGTGTCCTGGGCTGCATGAGGTCCATGGGCTGCTGTCTCCAGCAGGTCAAGGTAGATGATCCTTCCCCACTGCTGGTGAGGCTGCACCTCCAGTTCTGGGGCCTCCAGTCTGAGAGAGACGTGGACATACTGGAGAGACACCAATGAAGGGGCACAAAAGTGATGAAGGGAGTGGAGCACCTCTCCTGTGAGGAGACTCTGGGAGAGCTGGGGCTGCTCAGCCTGGCACAGGCTGCTCAGAGAGGCTGTGGGATCTCCTCCTTGGAGATCTTGAAAAACCTCCTGGATGTGGTCCTGGGCAGCCTGTGGTGGGTGTTCCTGCTTGGGCAGGAGCTGGGGCAGATGGGACTTATCCAGTCTTATCCAACTAAATTCTTAAGGTTCACATAAGCTACTTTTTTATAGCAAATAAGAGACCAAAATGACACAGGGAAAGAAAAAAAGAAGCTGCTTAAAACTGACTCATATCTTGAAGTTAGGAACATCTCTCACTGTGTGTATATATATATATAAATATATATTTGAAATGCTTTATAGTTAGTAAATAAGAATGTTTATCTATCTTACATTTTGATACATGAAAAAGTATCAATTTCTCTTTCAAGTGCAATACAGAGACTTTGCAGAGCATATCAGTATTCCCTCCTGGGGATTCAAACCAGCATGAAAAAGTCTCCCTCCTTCCACCTCTTTAAGGAGGATCAGGAGTCTCCTTATCTGCCTATCAAAATCCCTTCAGGAATAAAGATGAAATGCAGTGAAGTGCAATATGTCACAAGAGAGTGGAGAAGGAGGAAGGACTGGTGACAAGACCATTTCTTTTCACAGAAAAGAGGAAGGAGAGTTCATATACTTGTACAGACACAAGCTCCTCCAGCTCTTGTGCAAACATTAAAGCCCAGCTGTCACAGCAAGCTTTCACATCATGAATTGTGGAGTCTACTGATGTACACAACTACGGCAGAACAATCCAGCAACAGTGATGTTGCTGCAGGTTAGATTAGAGACCATTGCAAATAAATAAAGACCAGCCTCAGCAGGAGAACTACCCATACTGATACCAAAAAAAAAAAAAAAAAAGTCAGATCTGGAAATAGCAGAAAGAAATTATTTGTCTTCTGCTGGAAAAGAGCCAAAGGAGTTTGAAGCATCTCTCTACAAAAGACCACCTGCTGCACCTGTTGTGAGGAACAGCTGAGTATCAAAACCACAAACATGAATCAAACAGTAGCTAAGTGTTTACTTGTGTGTTTATATTCGTGCTTTCAGCTGTAAGTAAAGAGTTACAAAGCTTGATTGCTAGTTTTTTCATTAAAGCCAGAAGGTCCTACTCTATCCCTGCAGGCTACAGTTATTGACAAGTTATTTTAAGATTGTTTCACAGTCACAGCGTAGAACCGAAGTGTCTTTAAAAGTACCATGAAGTATTTCTGGAATTAACTCTTCACTTATCTAATTGCCGGGTTGATTTCAGAATTCTTCTTTCTTCCCCTCTCTTCAACTTGTAATGGAAAATCTGTACCTGCAAGTAGTAGGGGAGATGCACAATAGCAGTCACTGAAAACACTTAACCAAAAAGCACAGAGCCTTTTTGAAAGCACATGTAGGGAGCACTTACTTGCTGCTTCCCTGGAAGTGCAGCAAAGATGAACAACAGCTGCAGTGTGGATGCACCAGCCACCGCGGTAAGGGGAGATGGTGATGATGAGCAGAGGGGATGCAGCCTGTGTTAGTTAGTCCTGGCTGGGTCATAACTCCTCCTGACCTTAACACCCATAAAATCTGGACAAAGGACAACATCTATTTGCAGTCTCACAAGCATTGGGCATACATACCTTCTCCATCAGTCGAGCATGATGCCCAGACGCCTCAGCTCATTCTAAGCAGTACGCCCATGTGAAGGGCAGCACCATGCAGAGGGACTCGCACCAGCTTTAAAAAGAGTTGTAATGTCCATAATATACAGTATATGAACTAATGAGCCAGAGCAGGTCACTTTGCCCTCCACAACACCTACCTATAGGAATTTTTCTGGTATAGTGAAGGCTTACACTGGATAACTGAGAACGTGCTCTCTCTTGGGAAATGAGTAAGATTTGCTAGAGTCATTTCCTGTAAATTCAGGATATCCAGACAGATAGAGGACTAAAATGTTTTTGTAAGTGCAGTTAAAACATCATAAAGCTATTATGGTACGTTACAAACAAAAAGACTGTATGTAATTGTTCATAATTCACCTGATGAAATAACCCTATTAACTCCCTGAATTTTACATATTCTAAACTATTTGAATTGAGGCATTTACATTAGAGAAATAAAACTGCTTGAATGCTGAGTCTATTATTCTAAGATATACACTGGCCAAGTACAGACCTTCCCTAGGAATTAAAAGCTCTGTATTAAACATGTTAAAAATGTCAGGCTGAAAGTTTGCCATAAAATTGTCATGTGTATATCCTACACTATTGGCAGATAGTGAAAGAAGGTAAAACGAACACATAGGTAGGAGCCAGCAGATTTGGCAGCACTTCTGAGACTTCTACATAAAGTAATTACACACGCCAGTGGTCTGAGATCAATTATTCATATCCTCCTTTACATATTGTAACTCACATTTTATTGGCAATTGTTATTACCAATTCACTTCAATAGAGGGCAAGAGAGACTGAAGTTGTCATCTCAGACTGGAGGTTGCATGCAAGAGAGAAAATTAAGAAGTCTGGCAGGATTACGTACAATTGGAAACACGACCAAAATGAAAGAAAAATACTGAGGCTGTACAAGGTCTGAGTAATTTCAATTTCCCCTAATGCTTCATTGTTCTCCTTATCTGTGAATCATACTGAAATAAAGAAAAGTACTTGATGAAACAAAATGAACTCAAAACTCTTCAGTGCAGTGCTCTTTTTTTTTTTTTTTTCTCTAGACTCGAACAGATTGCAAGCACTAACATAACAGGACCAGGAAACACACATGTTTTGGGGAACTGAAAGTACATTCTCCTGCACCTTCTTTTACTGACTTCTAATACAGGAAATTTATGAAAAGCTTGGTGCACCTATTGGAATTTCTTGTGGTGAATGAACATTTTTTTTATTATTTCTGTATCTTTTCTCTCTGAATTTATTTCTGTATTAGAACAGAGCTTTGCAGGCTATCTAGTATTGTATTTCAAATACCCTCTTTTCTGTTACTGAGTTTCAAACTGTTTCTGTAATGTTTTAAAATTCACCCACTATCAGGTACGATATCCCAGCAGTTATTAAAAAGTGTAATGTCTTATGAAATAATAAAGTTTGGTTTGGTCTCTGGGACAATTACTTCTTTCATTCTACTTAAGAATGCAAAATAGGAGGATCACCATGTTCTGCAATGAATCCCACAGTGATGGACCACTTGATCTTCATACCCTTAAAGAATACCTTATGCAATGATACTTGTCCACTGCTGTTCTTCCTAAATTTCATCTGCACTGATATGAGTTGCTATAGTGGCCTTAATACAGTATCTTACAATGATTGAGAGCTTTCCCACAAAACTCTTTCCACATTTTTTTAAGTACACTTGACCTACCAGTCCTCCAAATCTGCTGACTGAATGCTTTTTTGCTGCTCACTCCTGGTCTTTATTCTGAAATGACTGTGGTTTAAGCTGTATGCATTTTGTCCCTCAGCAGTTCACAGGCATGGTGAAAGACATCTGAATTCAATATTACCTTGACAAATGAGAAGGAATTGATCAAAGGAGGAAATATAACAAAAGTAAGGGCAACAAGTGCCCTCTCAGGAGCAAATCAAATACAGAAATACAAAATGGAAAATAGCTTGACAACAGAACTGCAGAAATTAATCTAAGATTTATGGCAGAGGGCAATATAAATATGAGTTGACAAGGTGATACTGCTGCAAAAAAAAGCAATTGTCACTCTGGGACATATTAGAAGGAGCATCACATTCCAAATGATACAAAAATTGTGTTCATTTTTTTTTGGATGAGTTCTTACCTGGAATTCTGCAATTGCTGCTGGGCAGTGTATTATCTGGGAAAGTGTCAGATGATGAAGAAAGATATACAGAGATACAGGCTTGTAATAGGAATATTAAGATAGTAGGGGAAAAAAATATATATATGTATATATATATTATGAACATATTTATATATATGTTCATAAAGAAGGACATAGTCCACAGCAGTAAAATTGATTGTATACAGGCTGTGGCCTGAAGGCAGATTTGGCTAAAGGTGGAAATAACCAGAACTCTCAAAACTCTGATACAAAAGAATCATGCCATACTAACCTTTAGCTCTTGGGAATTATGAGACACCTGTCCAAAATCAGTTTGTCATTGCCCAAGAGATCTGATGAGTGCTTGACACCTGGCATCCCTCTATAGAATGGTTGAGACTGGACTCCTGGAGCCCACCTGCCTGAGGCCCTGCCCACGCAGGGACACCCAGAGCAGGCTGCCCAGGACCATGTCCAGGTGGCTTTTGAAGGGCTCCAAGGTTGAAGACTCTCCAGCCACCTCCTCGTGTGTTGCACATAAGTGGCTGTGGACAGACGACCTGAACACATACATCTTGGCTCCTGTGAGTGTGTAGGAGTGGGAGTGTAAGTGAAGGAAATCATTGAGAAGATGACTGTGAGTGTAAAGCTGATGTATTTAGAGATTTTGTAAAATAATATCACCTTTTCCTTTGATAGAGTCTCATATGAAATTTGTACACTAATTTCTTACCAAGAGGAAAGTACCTACAATGATGTATGTTGAAAGGATGAAAGAATTGGGTTTTGTAATCTGGATGAGAACAGCTCCAGGTAAATTAAGGTGATAGTTTTCCATTTGGAACATGTTATTATTAAGAGGACAACAACCAGCTGTTCTCAATGGATGCTCAGAAAAAGGACAAGAAAAAAGAGCTTCAACTGCAGGAAAATGATTTTGTGTGAGTATTGCCAGGAGTAATACCCTGCAAAGAGCTCACTTTGTGGCCTTATGGGATCCTCACATGACCAGCAAGTATTTGTCACTGACTGCTTGTATACGTCCAAACCTGGCGCAGTGCCAGTGGCTGGACTAGCCCAGTGACTGACAGGATATTTTTGGTTCTTAGCGCCAAACTTATTGTCACTGTGACTCAGAGGTCCCGGTGCCAGCCCAAATCTATGTCAGTTATAGGCCTGGTGCCTGTGCCAAAGTGTTGTCACCACCGGACTAAACAATCTCTTGAAGTCCCTTCCTGAACTCTGTTTTGCTGGTTGCCATGAAACCCCTGCTCATGGAGGCGATTTTTCCACTGGCTCCATGGGCTCCTGCTCTGTTTCTCACTAACAGGAATGTTCAAACGTTTTTATTGTTTTCCTATTTCTTTTTCAATAAAATTAGAAACAGCCATGCTTGAACTGGGAAAAAAAAAAAAAAAAAAAAAAAAGGATTTTTTTACTCCAACCTTTTCACTTTAGCTAACTTTTGAAAAAAACTATTTATTTTTTTAAAACTAGAGATTACATAACTGCATCTCTCTGAGCAGAGCTTCTGCTATTATACATTTGACAAAGAGATGGCAGCAGGGTGGTGCTGTTGCATTTTTCTCTTCATTTGCTTTTTTTTTTTTTTATCTCTATTTTTCAGGAGTATCAAAACTAAGCTTCATTGGTACTTTGCCAAAAGTATACATGGAAATATTTGCATCAGTTATAAAAATTGGGGAAAAAATAGCTATGCTTTTTCATAAAGTTTTATGGGAATTTTAGACACAGTACTCCCTTTGTCTTGTCAAATAACTGCAATACTCTGCCTTAAAGTCATCTCTGAAACACAGAGTTCGGGTTTTGAGAGCTGAATGAAACCTGCAAAACCTTTATGTCCTCTAAATGCTGGGGGATACTTTGCAGTGAAAGCAGGACTGAGGGGGTAGATGCTCTACTTGTGTTTTTAGTAGGATCCAGTTAAAAAAATCATTTTGTGTGCAGGTTGTTTTCGGAATGCTCCTCTTCCCTGCACATTTTTTTAAAAAGGCTGCACTTTGCAACCTTTTAATTGCATTGACAAGTGGTTGTGACGATGAGTGAGGCACATGTTGAAGATTTTCAGAAGCAGACTGGCTGTACCATGCCATATTTCAAACCTGGGACACAAGAAAACTTGTGTCTTACTATGTGGCATCACCCACTCCTAGTACTGCCCTCCTGCCCCAGTCCATGTCCATGATGCTTTTTTTATCTGTCCAACAGTGAGAAAAACAGGCAGGGCCAGGTGGTGCTGACAGCGCAGGTTTGCTGATACTGGTTCTTGCATCAAGGAGCTTGAGAGAGGTACTCACAGTTCTGCAGACTACACAGATGTCCTTACAGACAACTTCTCTTTTCCAGGGATCTGTGTGGTAGGGTCTTTACTAAGCAGAGCTGCTCCAAAACTTAAGTTAAATTTCTCAATCATTTTTGTCAGGAAGTTCTTGCACTTAATTCATTGCAATGCCAGGCCCTGCTGTGACTTTGACCCACAGCCGCTTGTCAACAGTTGATGACAAGTGACAAGCTTATCTGACAAATGGCTTTGGTCCACCTCCTTGTTTAAACACTTTAAACATCCTGGGTGCTGTGGGTTGTTTTGTTTGTGTTGTTTGTTTTTTTTGGTGTCAGCAGTAGAGATTGCAAACAGATTGCTTATAGGTTACTTAATGCAGACTAAGAAGATTATCTTGCTTGTTTCTTCTTTTCTGAGCCAGACTTCCCTGTTCCTTCAATCCATTTTCCCAGTCTTTTTCAGCTAACATTTGCTCATTCACTTTTATTGTTTCCATTTCTTCCTACTGCTCAGGCTCAGTCCAGCTCCTCTCTGGGCACCCCTCCAGACGCCTTCCAGTTTCAGCAAACCCCTGCTCGCCCCCGGAACTAGGACATGTGAGGAGGCTTGCATATTGCTGAGCACTTCCAGTCCTTTCGTTGTGAGCACTTCTGCCCCTGGGGCATTTCTGCAAAGTGACAGTTCTTCACCCCCTGTGCTGCAAAATTCTCCTATTTCCTAATTGCAGACTGAGACGGGGATGAGGACAACGGTTCACCTGCAAAACAGCCAAGTGAGATAAATACATCTGTAAAGCTCAGAAGATTGGCTTTTTGTCTAATTTGGTCCTCGAGCCTTCCTACTCCAACTTCTGCAACTTTTTTCCGAATAACCCTGCCAACATGTGGATTTATTTATTTATTTATTCCATGCTTCACGTTTTATGAAGAATCGAGCAATGCTGAGCTCTTCAATGACCGAGTGCATGCTCTGACATCCTTTAAGACCCAGGGGGTTAAAGTCCTGAGACAATCTTCAAAGAGTAAACATAGGGGTGGAAGCAGAGGCATTTGGGGCAAGTCCTTGCTCTGGGTCCTGTTAGGAAAAAATAATGACAATAATAATATAAAACTGTTTCCTAATTAGTTTTAAGATGACATTTGACCCGCTTATGACATCTCGGTGAACATGAATTGTCTGATATGGCCAAATGCAAAAAAAAAAAAAAAAAAAAAGAAAAAAGAAAGGAGGGGGGGGATCAAAAATCACATCGACTACCACGATGCTCTTCCCACGTTCCCCTTTCACTGGCTCGGGATGCTGCTGACGAGGTAGGTGAGGTTTCCAGCTCCCTCCGCCTCCAGCACCCTCGAGGGTCGCCCCCTGTTCTGTAAAGGACGCTCGGGGAGGGGGCTGCGGGGACCGAGGGGGGGCAGCCCCGGGACGCCGCCGGCCCCGGGGCGGCTGCCGGGAAGGTGCCGGGGCCGCCCCCTGCCCCCCCCCCCCCCCGGCCCCTCCCCGCCCCGCAGCCCGGGGCCGCCGCCGCCGGTCGGGCTCCGCCTGGGCTCCGCGCTCGGCGCCCGGGGCACGGGGCACGGGCAGGGGCCGGGGGAGCTCGGGGCCGGGGGGAGAGGGCACCAGGGGCGAGATGCAGGCGGCGAACGCGGACGTGCTGCTGGATCTGGAAGAGGAGGAGGAGGAGGAGAGGAAGAGGAGGAAGAGGAGGATGGGGAGACCGGTGAGTAGCGGGGAGACACCGGCACGGAGGGGTGTTCAGTGCTGCTGCGAGGGTTTGTGGGGGTGGCCTTGTCCCAAAGCTCACCTTCTGCTTTTCCCGGAGAGAAGACCCGAGCTGGCTGTCCGGGCGGGTGGCGTTTGTCCCAGCGGGCGGGTGGCCGAGGCGCTCCGGTCCCCCCCTCTGGGAGCATCGGCACCCGGCAGCCCGACTCTTTCCCTGCCTGGGGAGGGAGGGCACCGGGGGGCAGGGGGAAGGCTGCTGGAATTGGGCACCCGAGGACTGGCCCCGAGAGCTGAGAGCTGAGAGCAGCCTCCCCCCTAGCCCGGGTGCCTGGCATCCTTGGAAAATGGGAGGAATGCTCCTGTGCTGCTCGCCCCGTGCTCAGAGCATCCTCCTAGCCCGATCCCGTTGTTGGCGTCAGCCTCAAGGGCCAGTAGCTCGCCGGCCCCGCACCACTAGACTTGGTTGGAGAGCCAAGCGAGGGAGGAGGGGGAAATGACGGGAAATAAAAGATAATGAAGGGAGAAAACTGGCAGAGCACAGAAAGACGGTAATTTCACTGGAAAAAAGTGCGTGTCGGGTCTGCCAGAGATGCAGACCATAAAAAGACCAGAGGGTTTTCCTTTCAAAGACAGTGTCTGTTGGTCTTGTCCGGACAGAAGCAGCCCGGGACAATTACTGTTGTATTTGTTGGGGGGATGAATTCTGGTAAAGTATTTCCAGAAAAAACAGCCCCAAACTGGCTGGTACTTGGCTGGTTCAAACTGAAGGGTCTATTCATTCCAGTAAAGGCACCCTGATTCACTTCAGTTCAAAAGCTGTTTTCAGCTGCAAGACCCAAGAAGTCTTTTATTTCCTCTTGTTAGAATAGGTCTAACAAACAAGGAATGCAGGCAAATGTCTGTTAGACAAGTGTGTAGAACACGGGTTTGTATATACGAATATTATCAGATGGAAAGAAGTCCTACTCATTATGGTTCAAAATGTGCAGAATTTTGGTAAGTTTTGAATATGGGGGCTGAATTTCTGCATTTGTCAAAAGTCCTAGTGACGTGAACTCTCTGGTACTCGTGCTGCCTTCAAATACTGATCCTTGGCGATGGCCAGCACAGCTTACCTCAGTTATTCAGTTAATTTAGTCCAAAGTGTACAAAGTTTGAGCCTCACCCAGTGCCTGTGGAAACCAGGGAATGGCTTTTCTCCAGCATCAATAGCCTTTGTTTCAGATGCTGTGGGAGTATCCATGGCTTTATAGTAACAGTCCAAAGACAAATTCAGTTTTCCATATGAAGTGAGGCAGAGGAATTGTTTGACTCCACTCCCCTAATTAAAGAAAGGGTGGATCAGCGCCGTAATGCATTAATCAACACATGCCTTTTCCTTTCCATTCTTCACCCCAGAGAACAACTAAATTGTTTCCTACTCATGACTCAAATTTGGGGTTAGTTCAGCTCCCAAAGCCAGCAAGTCATGAGCTGCATATTCTGCTTGCAGGATGCAGCACTTTGGAAGAACATAAAATGTGGTAAAATTAAATAAAAATTGAACACTGGTGATTTCCTAAGTTGCTATGCAAAGGAATTTCAGTGCACAGCTCATTTGCTATTTCGCCTTGTAAAATGTATGAGTAACTGTCTCGAGGTTTTTACATCAGGTATAATTAGAGGAGAGATAGTTTATTAGCCTGAGAAGCTCGTCGATTGCCCATTTCCTCCAGTTTTATGGTACCGTTTGCATCTGCATTTTTACCAAGAAAGTCATCCCTGCTTTACTAAGTAAGCAGGACTTCTGAGCTCTTTCCAGTTCTACTCAAGATCAGCCCAAAGCGTGCACACCTCATCAGGAAAGCATTACCATGGCATATCCAAGTTTGTAGTCACGGCACACAAAGGGAGTGCTCCAGCTTGTGCTGGCACACAGCTGGATTTGGTTCTCCAGCAAACCACTTGTGCCAGAAGCAGACTTAGGCAGGAGTCCAGACGAAGAACTGGACTCAGGAGTTCAAATCTACCGCAGAGCACCATAACCACGCTGCCTGCCATTCATAGTTTTGAAACCAATTGTCCAGGCAGACTTTTATTTAAGGAAGGAAATCTTGTCCCCAAATTAGGCTTTTCTGACAAGTTGAAAACCTTTTTTTCTTTTTTCTTTTTTCTTTTTTTTTATGGTACTTAAACTTTTTATTCTGGAGTCAGACTGTTTTCAAGGGGAGTGTTACATTAGTGACACCAATTTGTTTCTGAGATATCTTGTTACTGGGCAGGGATGGTGGGAAGCACATTGAGCTGTGGTTGCCACAGAATTAAAATTCTCCAAACCCATTATTTTCTGCCTAGAAACTGTCAGACAGTTCCATAAACTGTAAAGTTTTTCTTTCCCTGGTGCCAAACCTCATACTACATCTAAATTAGTTTGCTTGTGTTTGGGGATTTACAGAGTATCTGAGTGTGCTTTCCAGAAAAACTGACTTCTGAGGACAATATCCAGGGGCATTTGCTCTGACTAACCATGGTGCACAAAATGCTTTTCTGTTTATTGGGATACATTAGCATCTTACTCACACTTTTTTGTCTTTTTTATTTTTTCTCATATATAATTTGTAGCTGTTCCTTAACCTCGCATGTACAGTATCTTTTCCTGCCTTTTGAAACTTTTGAAACTGCTGCATTAACCAAGACACGTTGTAGAGGTGGCCAAGAAATGGATGTTCATGTTAACCTTTTCCTCATCATGCAGTCTAGATGATGTGTTGATGGGGATTCCAGCTCTTCTTTCTGTAAAGTATTTCATGCTGTTTTCCAGCACAAATTTTTTTACCAACTCCAGTGAAAATGTACAACAGTAGTGGCTTATCCAAGCAGCAGCATATGTGGAATTACAGCCTCAGATCATCTGTGAGGAGGCATTCTTCTCCAGCTTCTTCCAGTTTCGTGCAGCCTGCTATACAATGGGAACCCTGTCCTAGGGGCTGATGTTGTAACACAGATGGTGAAAAGCAGGCACAGCTATTCTTCACCTCATTACTTTTGCTCACTCTTCTGTTCTCTGCTCCTCATGGCATATACTATATTTTATTATTTTGTCTGTTAGAGCTTCTAATTTTTCCTATTCAATAGCTCCATTAACTTGACCTGCATCTCATTTCCTCCCTGCAAATATTACTGATATACACTCCAAAATGAATGCACTGACAGTGTTCTACAAATAACTCCAATATTTTCCGTCATGATTCTGAAAAATGGTCAATTATTTATAAAAGTGTCCAAAAGGCAACAGAAAGTCTGAATAGTTGGATTACTCAATTGAAAAATGTGGCATTGTCCTCCAATTTATTAATCGCAATACTCACACAGTGGGATATTAAAAATTGGTGCAAGGGGTAGATCTGATAATTTTGTAGCATGCAAGGATTGTAAGAGGATTTTTTGAAATGATATTTCTGTTTCTGAAGGGACAGTACCTTCCCTTTTAAACTACCTAACTTATCAAGAAGGACTGCCCCAGTCCACTCTTTCATACCTTGTTTTCTTTTCATTTTCGTCTCTGTTTTATAATCAAACTAAAAGTTACTGGGGCACTTTCAGTCTTCCATCATCCTAAAGAAGACTGTGAGTTGGATATGTCTCATGAGCTGAAAATCAGGAATTTCTGCTCCCCAGTTCAGTGCTCTGTTTACAACACAGAAGAAGGTAGAAATGTGATGTGAGGCAACTCTGTATGCACAAGTTTGATTTCAGTCTTTTGTTTGTTTTGGTTTGTTTTTTTGTTTTGTTTTGTACTGCTGCAAAGCAGACTTCTTGTACTCGTGCATCTAGGAGATGAAGAACATGAATAAGTAGGAACATCATCTCCATAGCTGTAGGCACATCAACACTCAGTCTACCATTTTTTGTCACTTGCTATTGAGTCAGTAGGAGGATCTTCATCAGTGAACTGAAACATTATTACACTATACCACGTAGAAATCAAGGAAATGCTAGCCTGTGATAATGGTCAAAATTTAAACTACTTTTCACACCTCCCTGTCCTACCTCATATTTCTGTTGCCCTAAAAGTTTACATACATTTCATCCTCTCTTCATACTTCAGTCATCTCATTTTCTGACTTTCCACCCACGTCATTTTGCTGAATCCCAGCTACACTAGAGCACAGCTGGGTCACAGAGTATGGCTGTATTTGAGCCATACACTGTGGGAACCACTCACTTAAATTTTGATGTAATGATTTTTCTACAAAACTACTGAAAAAACACATAAATATTTAACCACAATATAATTACTGTTTTGTAGCTATTTATAATTCATAAACTCTGGAGGAGATCAGAATATTTCAAGAAACAGGAAATTATGGGTCTGATAAAATTCACAAACTCACCAGATATTGCTCCTTTTCAAGTTTTTCTACCTTAACAGAATTCCCAGTTGTCCCTTAGAAAGTTCCTGTACATTGAGAGTATTTTTCCAAGATCCTGTGTCTCAGTTTTCAGCTGAACATGTGAGTGCAGCTTACAGATAAGTCTGCAGTCTGTAGGACAGATTGGTTATCTGCCATATCACAGGCAACTCCTTAAAGTGTTCATAGAATCACAGAACAGTTTGAGTTAGAAGAGACCTTAAAGATCATGCATTTCCAACCCCCCAGCCATGGGCATGGATGCCACCAGCGGATCAAAAGCAAAGTTTTACCTTTACTTACACAGCAGTCCATGAGTTCTTTTAAAAGTAAAAACTCATTAAAACTTGTTTAATTAATATGTAGGGCTTTTGTTACATGGTGCAGAACTCTTGACCAGCAATTCCATAGTGTTACAGTTACTGGAAGTAATGTACTCAAAAATTCTACAAAAAAAAAATGTACTAATATCACATGATTTGCAACTTACGCAGTATATCAAATTTTGCACCCCAGATTTCAATGCAGTTGTTATCATTTAAATCCCCTCATCTTAGTATTTCTTGGTACCTGTCATTTCCTAGGAAGCCTGTGTTGCATGCTGTGGAATTAAGGTCTGCTTTGCCACTAGATGTGTGGTGAATGCCAAGGGGAACTGATATTAAAGCTCTCTGTCATGCTAGGGAAAAAAACAAACAAACAAACAAACAAACAAAAAGATGATTTTGTATGATAAAAATTACATGTAGTAAATTAAATAGTCTTTGTAATGCCTTCCAGTTCATCCCTTGAAAAGAATTTTATTTTTTTTCTGTTTGTTTATTTTTAGTTTGAAATGGCATAGTCTTGTACCCAACTAAAGAAGTTAAATTTAAAAAAAAAATAAAAATTAAACTTGTGATTAACTAGGGAAGGTCAGGGAAAAGGGCTTACTTATTTTTTTAAGTTAGGTACAAAGGTAATACAACTGAATATCCTATGCCTACCATCTTCCAACCTGAGAAGAACTTTGAAAAAGAAAAGCTTGAAAGCTTGAAGCTTGTAGAGCCCTTGCAGGTGTGTAACAAGATAATACAATT